CTCATTGGTTTCGTGCTCGGTGTTCTAACCAGCTTCTGGTACTCACGTGTAAGTCTCCGTAAGCTTGGATTGAAGAGGTGTCGATGCTAATGTAGACAATAGTCTCGTGGTTTCAAGTCAGCACATCAGATCATCGGCTTCATCGTGGTTGGCTTCCTCTTGGGTCAATTCGCCATTGGCTTTCTGCATCACCAAAAGTACAAGAAGACGCAGCGCGATACACCATACAAGGTTGTTCACCAGTGGCTCGGTCGCATCACGATTGCTCTTGGCACGTTCAACGCATTCTTGTAGGTCAAAAGTCCTTCAATAATCCTTACAATATGCTAATATGTGCAGGGGCTTCTCATTCGCCTTGAACCGCCGATTCAATTACTTCCTCGCTGCATTCATCATCCTCATGCTTCTGGTCTCGCTGTTCTTCACCTTCGGAGGCAAGTGGGTCCGCGGCCGGCTGCCCGCTAAGTTCGGCAACCAAGGAACGGGCGGGTACAACCCGGAGCCTTGGAGACAAGCACCTCCGCAAGGCGGATACGCATACACCGGTGCCGCTCCTCCTGCCTACCAGCCGCCTTCTCATCAGGCCCAAAGCGTCGGTCTGACAAGCATGGTGGCGGATCCCACGCAACCGACAAAAGAGAGGAGTGGTAGCCGCGACTACCGGAACAACGACTTGGGTTCTGCGCACCAACCGCGCGAGATGGTATAAACCACTGGCTCGGTGTCACTCCGACTTTGGCATGAAAGTCGTCTGCATTTTTGGCGTTGTGTGGGACAGGGAAACGAAAGTGAATGGAAAATGAATGCTGGGTAGTCCTTGCTGACGGCCCTCTGCTTCGATGCTATGATTTAGCTGTATATTTAATGTATTTCCCACATCTAGTTTCATACCAAAAGATGCATGATTCGATGAACGACTGCCTTCTCATCCCAAAGATATTGGAATGGCTAACAAGAGTAGTCTGAGACTAACAATGCGGTTGCTAGTCGTAGTGCTGAGCGAGACCGGGCGGCGTGACGGTCTTCGGTACCGAATCGGCATATTGCGACATTCGTCGTTTGACCGGCGGTGGGTCAATCACCTGAAGATGCCAAAGTTCTTTCTCCATCGAGTCTTCCTTGTTTGCTTTGCTATTGAGTGGTGAGAGATTCAGATCCCGCTTGCTTTTGAATTGAACAAACAGAATGTTATCAATCAGGCCTGGCCGGAGGGAGAAACGCCAAGAAGCTCCGCAACGGTAACTCTAACGCACGGGATCCGGCGCGCCGTTCAACATCAACGGTTCGGTTTTGGAAAAAGAAATTGCGGGTACGTCCCCGGTCTCCCGGCGCCGGGATCGGCCGTTGAGAGCTCGGCCAAGTTACGACTTTTCACCGTCGTGACGTACCCGCGTGAAGCGGTCAATTAAGTACCTCAGCCGCAACCATGAATGACACGCGACCTGCCAAGAGCTTATAGAGTGTGTGTATCAATTGGCGCGCCGAACCAGAGCTTCAAGCGGTAGCGGCTGACTCTTGTTACATGCTTGCCCTTGTGAGGATAAGTGGCGGCAACTTGCTTCCGTTTCGTTTTTTTTTTCTTGCGCTCGCCTGTTGCCGCACGGCTCGATCCCGTGCCGGCCTGGGCGGAGTATCCCCGACGTCTATTTGATCTTTTGTACTTGGGCCCAGCTTTTTCCAACTTCATCTCTGGAACAACCTATTGTCAGCATTCTTGCCTCCCCTCATCTTTGGCCGGATGGTATGCAAGGCCAGCTCTTCTTTTCGTGTGTCTCGCAAGCACCCATAAACTTGTAAAATACACGAGATTTCCGTCACTTTATCTCTGACGTAGACACGTGTGTGCTCACTCGTAACGGCCAACGAGATACACCCTCAATTATTCCCGGTCGTTCTTCAACGGTGGAGTGTAACCTCGATACCAAAACCTCGGCACCGGGGCTCCTACACAATGTCGTCGCGGCGCACAGAGGACGAGCTGGTGCTCCAGCACCATGATGAGGATGCTGACACCGAAAGAGGGGAGTACTCGGACTCGGACGACGATGCGGATGAGGACACGCCAATGATGCTGGGCCAGACCGATGGTGCGGTTGAGGCTGCCGATGCGCCACTCTCAAATGCGCCCCCCAAACCTCCGCCGCTACCTCTCGTCAAGAAGCCTGAGAAGCCACCGCCCGTAGCCTGGCGCGATCTGCCAAAGAAGCAGCAGTTGTTCGTGATTACGATGACGAGGTTAAGTGAGCCTCTTGTCCAGACTTCTCTCCAGGTATGTATCTCTTGAATCTCCGTCAAGCTCCTTCGGCGCAAAGTTTCAGAACATGTTATATCCAAAGTGCTCTCACGCGCATTTCCGTATGGGAGAGGCTTGTCTCGAGAGTAACTTCCCACCCGCTAACACCGTCTTCAGTCCTACATGTTCTACCAACTCAAATGGTTCGACCCAACGCTGCCCGACTCCGTAATCTCAAGCCAGGCCGGCATCCTCCACGCCTCTTTCACAGCAGCACAGTTCATCACAGCCATGATCTGGGGCCGCCTCGCAGACTCAAGGCGCTTCGGCCGCAAGACGGTTCTCATGATCGGCCTCCTCGGCACCTGCTTCTCCTGCATCGGCTTCGGCTTCTCCCAGTCCTTTGCGCAGGCCCTCTTCTTCCGCTGTCTAGGCGGCGCGACAAACGGCAACGTCGGCGTCCTGCGGACAATGATTAGCGAGATCGTCCGGGAAAAGAAGTTCCAGGCCCGCGCTTTCATCTTGCTGCCCATGACCTTCAACATTGGTGTCATCATCGGGCCCATTTTGGGAGGTATCCTCTCCGACCCAGCGGGGAGCTACCCTTCCTTGTTTGGTGATGTTGCTTTCTTCCGGAAGTACCCCTATGCGACGCCAAACCTGCTCAGTGCAATCTTCCTCTCCTGCGCTGCCCTGTCCGTCTGGCTCTGCCTCGAAGAGACCCACGACGCCCTCCGCGAAGAGGGCCCGGACCTCGGATCCCGCGTAGGATCAAGCATCGCCTCCCTCGTCCGTCGAATCGTTGCCCGTCGACGAAGGGGTTTGAACAGCAACGCAGATGCAGCCTACACGCCCCTCCACTCCAGCTCCGCAAGCACAACCGACGTCGACGTCGAACTCTCCCCGGAATCCGCACCACCACCGAAACAAAAACCCCGCCCGCGATACCGCCACCGCCTCCCCTTCCGTCGCATCTTCACCCGCAACGTCCTCATGACCTTCTCCGCGCACTTCTTCCTCGCCTTCCACGTCGGCACCTTCAACGCCCTCTGGTTCGTCTTCCTCTCGACCCCGACCTCTGCCTCCCCCCCGCACCTCCCCTTCCGCTTCTCCGGCGGGCTCGGCATGCCACCGCAGTCCGTCGGCATGGCCATGGCCATCCTCGGCGTCATCGGCATCAGCCTCCAGCTGCTCGTGTACCCGCGCCTGTCGGCGCACCTCGGCACCGTGAAAGCCTGGCGCCTGTTTTTGTATTTCTTCCCGGTGACGTATTTTCTGGTGCCGTACCTCGCCGTCGTGCCCACCACCGACGCCGCGCCGCCGCCGGGGCCGAAGGGCGGGCCGGCGATTTGGTTCGCTATTGTCGGGGTGTTGCTCTTCCAGGTTCTGGGGCGGACGTTTGCGCTGCCGGGGCAGACGATTTTGATTAATAACTGTACGCCGCACCCGTCTGTGTTGGGGACGATTCACGGGCTCGGGCAGAGTGTTAGTAGTGCGGCGAGGACGATTGGGCCCGTGTTGTGCGGGTGGCTTTATGGACGGGGGCTCGAGGGAGGGGTTGTGGGTGCTGTGTGGTGGGGTTTGGCTGGTGTTGCAGTGTTGGGCGTCATGGCGAGCTGGGCTGTTTGGGAGGGAGATGGGCATGAGATTTGGATTGATGGGGATGAGGTTGCTGCTGAGGAGGAGGAGGAAGTGCACAGGCGGTAATGATGGGTTTATGGTAGAAGGAGTGGGAGTTTGGAAGTTTGAGCCTGTATGGTTTTTTCTCATACTCAGTTACATAGCCTCCAGAGCAGAGTATAATAATTCGTAGATTTCTCCAAGGTATCTTAAACTACCTTAGCCTTCGTTACAGTTTCAACTCAAAGAGATATGTAAATGCTGGTATGCACTACTACAGGGTAATAACGTACAGAGATATTCGCAAAGGCGTAGCTCTCCTTCGCAGCACACGTACGCCTACCTCATGCCAACCTACATCCTATCCTTATTTACTTACGTTCTTAGCATAAACAGAATAGTTTCAACCACTATGAAGTCAGATGCAAACTCCGTGCGCCCATCAGCTTGCCTCTCAGGTCAGGTAGAAAGAGTTAAAATGACAGCTCTCTCGTTCTGGAGATTCCTCACTGCTTTCGAGTTCGCTTGCCAAGCTGCTTCATTCTCGAACCAAAACCCTCTTGACATTACAGACGCAAGTGGAGGAAGGAAAGACTCCGACGTAAGGACCAATGAATCCGTGGTGCAGGCCATGCGTGATGCAGGGGCCTCGGGCTTCATACCAGTTTCCAGGTTTTTTCTTCTTTTCGTATGCTTCGGCGGACGACATTAGAGCCTGCTGCTGCTGCAGGTCGAAAAGGGAGTTTCAGGCTGTCTCATTGCCACCAACGTGCTTGCCGGCCCTGCTAACTTATTTCAGGGTTGTCGATCTTTGACATGCCACTGGGCGTTGGAGACTCAAGCGGGTTCTCGCAGCTTGGTGTAACGATGCTGTTGGAAGTGGTTGTGTGATTTATATGCATGAAGCGCGGCAAAATCCTTGGCTCGATTGTCGCCAGCCTGATCGTGCAAGCCGCCTGCCGCGTTTAACCTATGTCCCTTTTCTCTCCTTCAGAGAATAATTCAAGTATTTAGTAGTCATGCTGCTTGTGCTTGGGTCGTTCTACTATTCGTTCTGTCTGCTCTTTCAAACTCTTCCCTTGCTCTCTTTTTCTCTACGTCTACTTACTGAGCCTATTGAGCGTCGGAATCAAAAACCCTTTCCACAATGCGGATCGCCTCTATCCTTCTTCTTCTTCTGAGCCTCCTCTTTCGGGACTGTACGGGGAGGTCCACCTTCTACCGACCACCGGGCTCCGGTCCCGCCGGAGACTTCCGAGACAACCCCCAGTATACGTTGGGCGAGATAGTAAAACTCCAATGGGAGACTGACGACCCTTCCATTGACTTATACCTCGTTCAAAAGTTACCTGAGGACGAGGTCGCTGCCCTTTTGTTTGGTTAGTCAATTTAATGTAAAAGCAGTGAGCCCAACGCAGATGCTGCTTGCTCTACGGCTTTTGAAGTCAAAACATTTTACTTACCCGATTGATTCACAGTAGACGAATCTCACACGCCCTTTGGCTGGGCTTGGAACGTCTCCCTCCATACCTTTCCGTCCTGGCATAGCCCGGATCTGAGTAACGTGTACTATCTGCACTTGCAGGCCACTCTGCCTGTTGGCGTCATTGGTGCAGGTGTTGCGTCCCACTATTTCAACATCACCCCCAGCGCCGCGTCATCAGTCTCGTCGTCGGCCTCACCATCATCTTCGACATTGTGGACATCCGTTGCATCACCGACTACAACGCCGAGCGCAACGAGCACATCAGAGCTGGACCGTGATGAGCTATCGACTGGCGCAGTGGCTGGTATTGCGGTCGGAGCGACATTCGTTGGGACGCTCTTTGTAGTAGGATTAGCGGGATTTCTGTTCTGGCGGCGGTGGGGGACCAATGAAAAGAGGGGAGGGGAAGAATTAGGCGCGATCATCACTGCGAACGACGGGAACGAGATACATGTCTACAAGAGAGATGTATCCGAGCCATCGAGTGAACTGTTTGTTGAGAGTACTCGACGCTTCGGAGCCGAGGGTTCGAAACTAAGTGAGATGAGGTTTGAGATGTCGGGAGACTCGGTCGTACGCAAATGAAACGTGGAGTTTAATCAAGCTGATGGAATTCGTGACTATTAATAAAATTGAGATTTAAACGTGAATTATGCCCTCTCTTAAATACGGGGAGTTCGTCGTTAACGTGTAGGATAGATGTATGGACACCACCTACTCTTGGTCAACTACACGACCAGCATAGGAATCCAAAAAGGTCGTGGCAGCCTCAGTAAATTCCTTCGTACATGGAGATGAGATTAAGAAGCGAAGGTTGAAGAGTCACATGATATGCGTAATGACCGGTAGGCGTTTTCTTGAGTTTGACAATCTGGATCATAAGGCAGACTTCTCAACACAGGAATAAAATGTCTCTGAGCTTCCCATCTCTCAATTTCCATGGTTGGGCGAACTCCAGGTTTTGCATTCGCGCTAGTAATGCGATGGCTTTGTGTGACACATTTAATTGGTGTCGTCTGCTGCAGTCCCTTTTCAGCTTCACTCCAAAACCGCCCTGGACGGCGCAACTTCATGCCGAGCCTTCTGCGGCTGAACATAGCGGTCACGGATTCGAGACATTTGATCGATGTTCTTAGTGTAACGGTTTCAGACAGCCAAGAATATCAAGATACCCAGATTGCCCTCTCATATCTGTTCTTGGATGCTAAACACGACATCGTCCCCAAGTCGTGATATTGAGCAACGAAAGACAAACATGGATTACAGCAGACAACCATATTTTCCACCTCCGCCAGGTCAAGCTGGAAATCCACCACCGCCGATTCCGCCACGCCCGGAAACAACGATGCCAGCAATTTCTCCTCCCGATGACTATTCGCGAGGGCAATTCCAACAACCTCAGACTGTGCAAAGTCCTCAATATGGCGGTCAACATCCTCAACAAACTTACCAGCCCACATACGGCGCTCCTTCTTATCATCAGAGCCCCCCCAACAGTCACAATTATCATCAACCAAGCTCCGCAAGCCGACCTGAGCCAACTCCTCAGAACTCTTATTCGAATGGCCAGCCTCCCTACACCCAGCCGTACTCACCCTCAGCAACGTACACGCACCCTCATCAAGGACCATCATCGTCCCAGAGTCCTAGTCTATCAAGTGCTCTGCAACAGGCGACCTCATTGTTTTCGGACAGTGACAAAGTTGTCAAGTCTTACCATGGACTCAAGAGCAAAGCCAGAGCCAAGTTCACCCAACTCGTCTCGCAGGGCGTGACACCTTCACAGCCTACCTATAATCCTCAGGTCCAGTACGCTCAGAACCACAACCCGCCGTATAACCCTTCACCATCGTCTCTTTCTCCAGTTCATCCTCCCGGCGCTCAATACCATCAAACTCAGCAATCTTACTACCAGCATCCGAGCCCAATAGGAAACTTGGCAACTCCACCAGCACAGTCTCCCTGCTATCACCCGCCCCCTTCTCAGGAACAGGCCTATCCTGTACCATCTCATAGTTCAGCTGTGCTGTCACAGCAACGAGATCAGTATAGTCAACAGACTCAAAAGGATTCATCTCCTCATTATCTGGCTCATATCCCACAAACCCCCGGGAACGATGGTTCATCTGGCATGCCGATACCCAGTGCCATCTTTTATGGGAATGACAATCCCAATTCCGCCGTTCAGCAACACACTGTATCTACAGCTTCAACAGCAACTCATACACCGCCTGTGGTAACACTGCAGCAACTTCCTGAGCATCAGCAGCATATTCAACTTGTCCAGGAAGGGACCTCTCGCCCAATTGAAGCTACGCAAGAGCCAGGAAGACCTACAGCAGGCGCTATTCATCTCTCGACTTCGGTGACAGAAGTCAGTACTGCTGACTGCCTACCTACTCAACTCCGCGTTGCCGAGAAGGTCGCTCATGTTTCTCACGAGGAAGTACCGGCAACCAGTACAATCGATAAAATCTCCACCATGCTCAGCAGTGTGAGCATTCGCGAAGCCATTTCATCACAGAGTAACCCTCCGGCGCCTGATGATGTCGACTTCCACGACTACAAAAGAGCCGTACCCCGTGTCACCGAAGATGGGGAGCCCAACACAGTCGTTTGGGAATGCCCAGCAGTCCGAGAGGTCAGGTATGAAACGGACTGGTATCATATACCAGACATACCAAACTTTCTCGTCTGCACACATTGCCACGAGAGGTGCCTTGCACGAACACCCCTGGAAGGCTCTTTCATTCGCACCAGACAACCGGAAGGACGTTGTCGGTTCAATGCTCCCCGCATCACCGGACTCCTGCTACCCGAGTGTCTCAAGCGCAGAGATATCACTCCTCTGCGGGAGTTCATGACAGCTCGACTTGATGTTCAGGACTGTAAAGGGGCCTCGGGCGCGGATGGCTCAGCAGGAATCAAATGGTTCAACCCGCTTGACGACAGACTCGATGGTTTCGTATCTTGTGAGGCTTGTTATCAAGATATCGTGCTGGCAACATCGTTCCGTGACAAATTTGTTCCGCACGACTCACCCCAAGCATCCGATGCCGTCTGGGCCTGCGACATCTGTCTCCCCTTCATGAGTCGATCCATAGTCAGACTTTCAAAATCAGGAGTCGGCGGCTGGAACTCATGGGTAGAAGCAGCAGCGAAGCACATTGCTCTGCCTGAATGCGACAAGGGGCCCGTATCGCCCTCCTCCAGACGCTGGATGCGACTGCGCGGCGAGCGGCATCCGGATTTCAAAATGTGTGAAAAGTGCTACGAGAAACATGTGGCTCTGACGACACTGGATAAGGACTTTGAGTCTATTCCACATGTGCCGAGTCACACAGGGTTAGACTGGATGGACGCCGCACTAGGCTATACAACGACGGAGCCTACACCCATCACATGCAGCATGAATGGCTTGCCCGCTGAAGTCGCACTCACAGATGCCAAGGACTTTCAGGACATCAACGTTCTCTACCGTGCTCTGGAGGTCATCCTCTCCTGCCCACCGTGTACCGAACGGGGCATCATCAACGGCACGTGGTACACGTTGACCGGCGGCGGCTGTGACGGCCATAGGATCTGTGCCCCATGCCACGCAGCCTTCATCACTCCATTCGGACTGGACCGATTCTACGAGAAATCTCAGAGCGAGGAAGCAGGAGAGACCTACTTCTGCAGCTTCGAGCGATCCTCGGCCCCGCGATGGGTCGAACACATGAACCGCAATGCCGAAGCCGTCGAAACCGGCGTCTGGTCCCGCTACGCCGTCTTCGTGCGCAAATTCGCCGGCGTCCCGCACTGCGCCAAGGAGAACCTCGTCGACAACCGCCGCTGGTATGGGTGGGACGACTGCACGATCTGCCCAGAGTGCTACATCACCTTCTGCCAGGAGAGCTCGCCACCTCCCCCTAGTCTGACAATGGAATTCAACAACGACCTTGTCGTCGAGAAGAGGATGTGCTGCCTGTACTCCCCGCGCATGCGGCAAAAGTGGATCGAGGCGTGCGAGGCGGGCAACGCGGAGGCTCTGATCGAGTTTTCGAGGGTGCGGCACGGGGTTTGGGTGCAGACTGTGCTGCAGGTCCAGGCGCTTCGCCAGATGCAGGATATGCAGATGATGAATGCCATGCATGCGGGCTTCATGAGTGTCACGTACCAAGGTATTGAGGGTATCAAGGTGGTTTCTGGCACGACAGATGGGTACGAGCATGGGAATAGTCAACTTGGATGGCATGCGACGGAGGAGGGCGCGACGAGCGCAGCTTTTCGGAATCAGATGCAGGTTGGAATGGCTCAATCTAATAGTTCGAATACATGGATGACGATATGGCAGTTGTTGCTGAAATGGTCAGAGTATGAGTAGCGTGAGCAGGCCACGGCAAGCCGGGTGTGCGGTTTTATCTAGTTTCTCTATTCGACTTCATTTATGAGCATCCTTACTTTAGTGACAGCCTAGCTATGTTATTCGCCAGTGGTATTCATTACCTCTTACATCCGCGAGACTAACATACACCCGAGAAATACAGCCACGATAAAGCAAAGTTCTTTCAACCAAATTTTAACCACAGTTTCAAGGATAGTAGACGGACCCGACGAGCTGCTAAATCCTACAGATGTATCGGGACTCGATTGAGTCCTGTCAGATTCGGGATATCTAACGTGAGACGACAACTCATGGAATATTTAGATTACAATGGTATGTATATGCACACCAACAACCCATAAATACCTAGCTCAAAGTCTATGACGGAATAGTTGGCTCAAAAACGTCCTCTAAAACATCAACAACACCACTCATCCAGCTATCCCACGACGCAGGATCCTCCTCATCCTTGTAAAACTTGAGCCATCTCAGCAAAATCCGGTACGACCCCTTCTTCAATCCCAATCCTATCGTAGCCGTAGCATCAAGGATGCTGTAAGACCACCCAGCCTGGTAACTCGTCTGCGGCAGCCACCCATTCTGAATCATGTTGGACCCGAGTATATCAACGCCCGCAACCGTGCCATTCTCCTTCATCGACGTCTCCGTGAGGTTGTCGAACTTAACGCTAGGATCGAAACCGTACCACGTCGGCGTGAAATTCGTGCTCGCGCGCACAATATCGAAGCGGAACTTGCGCACGGGCTGCAGCGAGGTGAAGAGCGCGACCGGGTAGTCCGGGTACTGGAACGAAAAGGCGCGGTAGTTACCAATGTCGGCCTTATCGCCGTTGGCAAAGACCTGCGGGGCCGAGAGGGGATCGCGCGTCGGCGTCAGGGCGTTGGCGCGCTGTTCCGCGGTGATGTTGTTGAGGCCGACGACGGGCGTGCTGCTGTAGTTGTAGGCTGGGCCCATGTACGGGATCGTGAAGTTCTCGTCAGTGGGGGAGGAGGAGATGCCGATGAAGCCGGAGAAGAGCGGGACGAGGCTGGCGTCTGGTGAGGATGGGGGCGTGATTGAGAACGTGACGTTGGCGGAGCCGCCGGCTGGGACGGTGACTTGGCTCCCGCTCGCGAAGTCGACCTTGGCTGAGAAGGACGAAGGGATGTAACCGACTTGCGCGGTGCGGCTTGAACCCTCTGAGAATGGCGCTGCACCAGCAGCAGGCACGTTGGAGAAGCTGTAGGTGATGTCGGTTCCCGACGGGTTGTCGATGGTAAAAGTAGCCTCCTCGACATCAACCAATTTGAACTCCCCTGGAGATACCACTGTTCTCGGGAACACGGCTTTGTGAGCCTGAACCAGACCCGCGCCTTGTTGAATTGAAGGCGCCATCAAATCATAGTCTGCCATGTTGACTTGCTTTGCAGTGGTTTGTATCAGCTCAAAGATCTCTTCGACAGACAAGTCGGGATTCTGTGACTTGATCAGAGCATATACACCAGAGATGTAAGGCGTCGCCATGGACGTGCCGCTGATGATGCCGAAACCGCCGCTATTCTCCATGAGAGGGAACGTGGCTAGGACCGCTCCCCCTGGGGCGGCTATCTGGGGCTTGAACGCGAAGTCGGCGTTGGGTCCTAGGTGACTGTCAGTCAATACATCAAGACGAGCTGACTGCGATAATAGCAAGACATACCGAGGCTGCTGAAGTTGTTTGGAGATCCGCCACCGATTTGATCCACCAGAAGAGGCGTCTGGGACTCAACAAGCAACTTGTACTGTCCGGTGCTCTTGGCCGCATTCGAGAGCGTCTCGTCGATAACGCTGCCCATGGAGTAGACGTACCCGTCTGCAGTAAGAGACGGTGTTGGCACAGCGTGGCCTTCAATGAAGACATCATCGATGGTAGGATCCGGGTACGTAATGACACGAGTGAAGTTTGCCGCAGAGGCATACGTCTGGACCTGCGTCGGCGAACAAGAAGGCCCTCTCTTGACGGCGACAATGTAGTCGGAGATTGGCCCCTGAAGACTACTGGCTGGCGGGTAATCGGAAGCCGAGCAGCCAAACTTGTACCCTGACGTATTTCTCCCGGCCCAAGCAACAGGATACTCCCCTTCCGGGAATGGATGCAATGCTCCGTAGCGGAATTCGGCACCGTTCGAGTCACGGATCGGGTACGTTGGAAACTTTGCATTCTCCACAGACGCAACGCCAAGCCCGTCATCAGCTCCGCCCGGCAAGTTGATGGAAAACATGCCTTGCGTACCAGAGTTGCCGGCAGCAGCCACAACAGCGACGCCTTTTGCTCTCAACGCGGCAACGGCAGCAGGGAGAATCGACCTGGGATAACCCGACCAGGTTCCAAACTCTCCAATCGAGATACTCACAACATGGGCACCCTCCTCAACGGCCCTCTGCATAGCCGCAACAATAGCATCGTCCGACGCGCTCCCATCGCACCCAAAGACGCGGTACATGCCCAGCGTCGCCCTAGGAGCAACGCCAACGAGACCGGGAAACATGGAGGCGTTCGAGGAAACCTCCATACCGATGATGCCCGCCACATGAGTGCCGTGGAAGCTGTCAAAGCAGCCCGGTCTCGGGTCCGGGCCCGGGTTCGGGGTGGAGTTGCTGAACCCGTAGTCGTCGCCGACAAAGTCGTAGCCGAACTCGACCTTGCAGCCTTTCCCGAAGCATCCTCCCAGCGCGGGGTGCAGGTAATCGATTCCTGTGTCGATGACGGCGACGCGTACGCCCTCGCCGAGCACGCCCTTTGCGTGAACGCGGTCGACACCCGTCATGGCGTGAGGGCTATTCCAGTCGACGTCCGCCCTCCGAGAGAGCAAAGATTTGGGTTGCTCTCTGCTGCTTTCAAAGTTGCGGGTGGCGTGTTTTTCGTGGCCTTTGCCGCTGGAAGGGGACCTCTTCACATTATTGCTTGGGCGATGAGGGTGCGCCACGCTCTGGACGGGAACAACATTCTGGACACCCGGAAGAGCTCGCAACTTTTCACTGTCCGAGTCGTCGTCCAGAGAGACCGATACTCCGTAAAAGACACTCTTGTCGGTGTACTCATATCGCACTCGTAGTGGAATAGACGCTTCGGCTGCCTTGCTGGCGAGATCATGCGGACTGATGCTGAGCCCTTCGGCCGCGGAATCTGTGGACAACTCGACAAAGTACGTCTTCGGCACTGCTTGGGAGGTAGCTACAGCAAGACAGCAAGCCGCTGCCGCGGCGAAGTGGGCGATGAGACGCATCGTCAACTAGACGATCGGGCGGCTTCTCTCCGGACAGACAAGTCTTGGAAAGACTCTAAAGCCGAACGTGCCCCAGACCGTATTCATTGTGCGACTATGCTGTGATTTTAAGAATTCAAAGTCCGATTGCCATGGGTGGTCGTCAATACGACACCGAGATAACCGGTTGTGGGTCGTGACGGAAAGGGCGGGGTTTTCTCGTATTTGGCAGATCTTAATTCCCTGGCCCAATCGACTGCTATTTCTAGGCCGGGGATAGAATTAAGGAGAGCCCGCTTGTGGACCAAGGCGAACTTGCGGGAGCCAAAGCCCGTGAGGTTGTAGTCAAAGTTCTAGCGGAAATAGTCCTGGTTTAGAGAAATAGATGGAGAGAATATCATGCCGTTAATTACGCATATATTACAAGCCCGACGAGAGATCTTTTTTCCCTGGCTCAAGTAAGTCGACTTATGGACAGGTAATTTTATCAAGGTTGTGATGAAGGTGAAGCAAGATGTGATGGTCTCAAAATCGTCACCGGTCTACGGAATCGTTGTAAAGCAGATTTATTTGTCTGGATGTATCTTCAAAGTTTTGTCTCACCAGTCCATTCCCCAACCGACCTCTCTCAAGATCTCTTTGGAGACCATGGTCAGGACATGAGTTCATCACCAAAAACTTAGCGTCATTTCTCTTCATTCTCCACCATCTACCTCCACGCTCACACGTAGTGGCGTGATCTATTTCTTCTTCTGGCCAGCAACGACAGTGATCTCCTTGGGGAGCTCGGCCACGTAGGGCAGGAACTCGGGCTGACCGGGGATGTACTTGCGCAACACTTCGGGGACCTTGAAGCCATCGGGCGTCTGGTAGTTCTCCATGATGCAGCAGAGGGTTCTCTCGGTAGCGCAGAGGGTCTTTATTGTGGTCAGTATGAGCGACACATACGCAACACCAAAAGTGGCATCAGAGGAGATAACTTACAGCGTTGAGAGCGTGGACGTACTCCTTGCGGCCACCACCGGGCGCCTTTGTGGGGCAAAATGTCAGCAAATTTCCGGTTTAGGAGAACTACCATAGCTTCTTTGATGGGACTCACCTCCTTGGCCTTCTTGACACCGTAACGGACCTCGAGCTCGCGGGTCTGGTAATCCGTGCCTGTCGTCCATGTTAGCATTGCTGAACCATAGTGTGCGTAGGAATTTGATCTTACAGTTGGAGCAAGACACAAGCTCCTTGTACTCCTGCTGAAAGGGGAACCAAGCCTCCAAATCGTACTTCTTAGCGGCGGCGTTGTTCCTGAATATGTCAGTATTCCTCCATAGTTGGCAATATGTAAAGGGTTGCTTACAGAGCACCAGAGACGATGGAAACAACCCTGTATTTGTAAGTCAGCTTTCAAGCCCCCAAACTCTGGTCTGATGTAGCCTACCGGTAGGGAAGACCCAGGCTCTTGTAGAACTCCTCAGAAGCGGCAATCATCTCGTCAAAGTGCTTCCAGCTGTCTTCGGGCTTGCAGAAGATGAACTGCTCAATCTTCTCGAACTGGTGCACACGGAACAGGCCCCAGGCCTCCTTGCCGCTATACAGGTATACCATGTTAGTCAAAATCTACAGAGGGGGGTAAGAGCGTCATCTGGCGGGGTTTCGAACGTACTGCTTGCCGGCCTCCTTGCGGAAACATGTGCTGTAACCGGCGTACTTGATGGGCAGCTGACCGCCTTGGATCCACTCCTCGCTGTGAAGTGCCGAGAGGGGCTGCTCACTGGTAGCAATGAGGTACTTCTCTTCACCATCACCCGTAACCTTGTACCTGGAGAATCTGTCAGAACACTAAATAGTGAATTTCGGATTGGGGGGTCCGCCCTACAGCTCCTCGTCGAAATCCTCAAGCTGGGCGGTCTTGGCCATCTGGTTGCGGTTCATAAAGAAGGGAGGCTGGTTAGGAGTGTATCCCTTGTTGAAGAGGAACTCAAGACCGTAGTTGATGAGCGCCTGGTTCCTGTTCGCGGGGGTCAGCTTCCCTATCGCTACCGCAAGCCTCACCCTTTCTTCTCCTCTGGCCAAGAACGTACAGGAACAGTCCGTAGCCGGTCAAGCAGTATCCTCTGTGACCGACAAGCTTGATAGCGCGCTCAGGGTCGTAGCCTGCGAGTCTGGTAACAATCTGGTGGTGGCTAAGCGTCTGCTCAGTCTTGGCACCGAGTCCGGCCTCGGGCTTCCATTCGCGCTCCGTAACGTTGTTGTCTTCGTTATCGCTGATGGGAACGGACTCATGAACGTAGTTTCCGATGCTCTTGGCCTTGGCGTTGAGCGTGACGAGCTTCGCTGTCGCCTCATCCTCCTTGTCCTTCTTCTGCTTCTGGAGATCCTCCTTCTTCTTGAGCAGGTCGTCGGCGTTCTCCTTGTTCTTCTTCTTCATACCAATCTCCTTCTGCACAGCGTTGATCTCGCTTCCGATCTGCGTCGCAGAGTATTGGGTCTTGCGGTGGTCTATTCGGCTCCGGAGAGGTTCGTGTTAGCCCACATTTGTCCTTCCTACCCTGTGCGCGCAGCTATGGGCATAAGGCCTGGTTGGATTGGGAATTCGTACCATCCCACAGAGCGATAACCTCGTCGACAATCTCGACGGGTGCATGGCGACGGCGCTGGGAGTCGCGGATCTTCTCAGGGTCACCACCGCGCTCCTTGATGAAATCTTGGAGGTCGAGCATGATTGTAGCTTTTGGTGGGGGTAGAAGGGAGGTTGGCGGGGCGGACTATAGTAAAGTGTACTCGTTAAAAAGGCAATCCACACACGCGTTCCGAGAAGAGTACAGCTTACACGTTCCTTGGGACTGCGGATGGTTTGCAGCTACGTCGGCGTGACTCTCTCGAGGTGACTCAGGAGCGACTTTGGAGGGTGGTAAATTGTCGTTGCTGGATGGTGGTGGGGTTCTTTGGCGGGGGCGGAGCTGAGGCGGTCAAACGCAAGGGGTCTTTCGCGCCTGCCTTTACCGATACCTCGACCTACCTACGCGCTCATGCGACACATTCAATCACTCAATGTACAGCCACCAGGGGAAGACAAGATGCGTCAAATGCAACCCAATTTTAGTGCAATTGTGACCCAGTCATATTGCATACCGTGGTGAAGCGCAAGATGTTCTCCTTTGCCTTCCAGAGCGCTAGCTATTGTACAGTTCTGCCGTGAATACCTTGAAGAAACGAACCCCCAGACCCTTTTATTCCCCGCCCTCGAGATCATTTTCGCCAATGTCCAATGTTACATGATCGCTAGGTATTCAGGCCTGAGTGGCCTCCTCGACCTTGGTCTTTTTCGATGAGTCATCTTCCTCCGCAGGCTCTTCGGCCTTGCGCTTCGTGCCATTGGATTCTGCACCGTTTGCCTGGGTTTCTTCGGGCTTGGGCTCCTCCTTGGCCTTCTTGCGTACAAGGCCAGTAAGATCGGTAGCAGTCTTCTTGGCTTCCTCGACGCGAGCTTGCGTTTGAGCCGCAGATTCACCAATAGCCGCTCCAAGAATTCCGCCCAAGCCTTCACCACCGAGAGCAGCGTTGACGTCAATTGGTGGCTTACGAAGTTCCACGAGCTGTGCATGGTTAGTAAAGGTACCGTCGAGGACAAAGTATGGTTACTCACGCGCTGCTCCATATCCGCAATCATGTCCTTGACGTCGGTAATCGTAGCTCGGGTGACCTCATTGTCTTCCGGAGATGCCATGGTCGCGAGTTCAACTTCCTTGTTCTGGAGCTTGAGCTTGGTGCTGTTGATGGCTGCTTCCAGCTCATTTGCGGCCTCCTCGCGAAGCTTCTCGTCGAAAGGCTTGCTCTCTCCTTGCTCACCCTCCTCGTGAGTGGTTGTTACGGATGAGAACTCAAGCGCCAACGAAAGCTTGAAGTGCGCCTCGGCAATAACTTCCGAATCCTCGCTGTACAGCTCCTTCTTGTACTTCAAAGACTTGCGCGAGTCCTCAATGGCGTCGGGGTATCTAATTTCTGTTAATGCCGGAAGCCTTAGTGCAGGGTACCTCGGCAGGTGCTTACCTCTCATTCTCTAGGGAAATCTCGGCAAGAAGATCATGGGTATCCGCAAGGCGCTCCTTGACATGCTTGATGCTGAGCTTCTCGCCATCGACTTGCTCTTGTGCTTTGCCATTAGGCTCCACCTTCTCCAACTCTTCCAGCTGTCTGCTGTAGAGAATGCGAGCCATGTCGAGCACGCCGAACGCAACAGCGAGATCGTCATCTTCCTCCTCTTCTTCTTCGTCACCCTCGGCCTAATAACAGGTTAGCTCCAATTGACAGTCGTCGACGAATCTGGATCGCAAGTCTTCAATCAACTCATTGATGAAAGAGCGAGACTTGTTCAGCCCGAGACCAAAGGAGCGGAATCTAGCTTACCTCCTCCTCATCCGAGTCGTCCTCAAAGTTTTCGTCGCCAGTGAACTGGAACAAGGGCTTCTTCTCCTCGACAGTCTCCTCGGGCTTCGCTCCGCTCGTCTCACTTGCAACAATCGCAACACCCTCCTCAGTTATTCTCTGCGCCTCGGTTTCGGCTGGCGCCTTGGTCGACATGGGCTCGGCAGTGGTCTTCTTCGGGACCTTGGACTTGGGTTTGGCCGCCTTCTTCTCACCAGCGGCCTTACCCCCGAGGACGTCGCTCTTGCTCTGGCCAACCTTGAACACACTGCGACCGTAGAGGAAGAGAATCTCAGCATTCGCAGGTTGCATTTCGCCATTGATCTCATCTTGCAGCTCCGCAGCCTTCGTAAAGCAGTCGGTAGCTTCCTCGTACTGCTTCTTTGCGTACAGAGCGGTTCCCTTGGCAGTCAGGTCGGCGAGGGTGACCTTCTTGGAGTTGACGTCCTCCTCAGACTCTTCATCGATCGTGGCTGGCGTGTCCTGTTGTGTCGGCGCGGGCGCATCCTGCTTGATCTCTGGATTTGCGACAGCCTCCACAGCTGGGGCCTCGGCGACGGGGGCCACTGCGACAGGGGCCTCTGCGATAGGGACCTCTGCGGCGATCGTAGGCTGTTCGGGTGCGTCGGCCATTGTTGGAATTGGGTTGATGTTGCTGATTGATAATTGGAAGGATGAAATAGCAGAAAGTTTTGTGGACGATGGGAAACAGGATGAACGAGGTAAGAAAGGCAATTGCGAAAAGAGAATTGGCAGCCTTTGTCAGTCTGTGGTGTGACGCGCGAGCTCTGGGGAAGGCGCGTTGATTGGGGAACGAAGCTGCAGGGATAGCTTCCGTTCAGCACGTAAAACGAGTTAAACCCAATCAAAATGGCGGGTGCGTGCTGGGCTTCTTCACTGTGCTTTGCACTGTAGGTTGCATCAATCCTATGGATCAATTCCGGGATAGGCCAGCAGGGTGTCGCTGCCAATGCCTTGATTACATGTTTGCCTTGGCAATCGCCGTACGCCTAAATGGCATTCCCCTTTCCTTTCTCCTCTCAATAATGCCCAGTCTCTGACTTGAACCGCAAACATCTGGTTGGAGAAGGAACTACAGCTGCATGTTTGCTGAAGGCGTGCGACTTGGCTGTCCTCTCAAGTGAGCTGACGAGCCTTTGAAGAGGCTCTGCCAGATGAAAGCCTCGCTCAGTAACAGCTCAATGTCCTTCTCCGTCCAAGATTTTGTTGGTAAGCTTTGCAAAAACATCATTATTTCCTGAAAATCCATCTTGACAAGCTTGTCTGACCACTTGACCAGGAAAGCCGCGCACACGTATAAATGAAACTCCGAAAAGCCTTGTTCTTCGGCCTATAGGTGGTTAGATGGTGCCAGTAATCAGACGTTGATGGAATATCCTCACCAAGTACGTGTCCCACATCCTGATCGTATTCCTTACACTTATCTCTCTCATCAAGAGACAGTTCATCCATCGAAAGCTGAATTGAATGAACTCGACGTGCTCCTTTTCGAGGTGCTTCGCCAGCCCTGCATCAATCCTTGCGGTGAGATCGCGGAGGGCCGCAACCTGCCTCTGAATGCCTGGCTGGGCCACAATGTAGTGGTCTTGTATACCGTCTAGCAGCTTTGTCAAGCACCAGAATGAATCTGCTTCTACAGCGTCAAGAACCGATTTTGGCAGCTGACCAGGGTCCATGCCCGATTCAATATCGGAGTCTGCGACGTATGTGCTCAAGAAAACCTGCCAAAACGGCGTTACCAAGTCATTGATGCCCTGAACGTAGCCGCTGGCAGGGTGTCGCACTGCCCATAAGTACAGGATTCGTTCCAGAGATCTCTGCGTCGCTTCGTACGAGTAAAGTTCGATGTGAGGGTTCGTTCTTGGAACGTCGATACTGATCTGATGCCAAATTGCCTCGTCTAAACCTCTGGCTTTTCCGGGTGCCGCCGGGGTGGTGCCACCTCCCCCACTACTGCTGCCGCGTTCGAAAGCCTGCCTAACGCCATCGAGATACTCTTTACGTTTTCTTTCTAGAGTTGCGACTCTCCTCTCGCTGTTGGTCGGTAGGTAGCTCAACAGGAGTTGCCATGTCATAGCACGAACCTCCTGGGGAACGCCGGACCAAGCTAGTTGCCGAAGTTCCTGTAGCGGTATTGTTGAGGCCTGTAGGAGCTTCTTGAACTTGTTGATACGAGTAATTCGTGAATTCGCAGCATCAATCTCTTTTGGTGTTGCATCGTCGGGTATGACTGGGTGATCGATTAGGTGCAGCGCGTTCGCCGGGTCTGTCGCAGTCAGCACGGTCCATTCCAACATCACGCGACACCACTTACCCCTCAGAATTTCTTTATACTGTGGACGCAAGATTTTGCCCTCGCTCTTCTTCGGCATGGGATAGGTTGGCGCAGGTCTTTCGATCGCAATGTCCGCACTATTCGAGTATCTCCTCGTGTGTAACCCTAAGCCGAACGAGTCGTTCAAGGGCGACAGACCTCCGTTGGGATCTGACCTATTTTGCGCGGCTTTCTTGCGTGTTCGTCGCTTCAAGTTAGACAGGCTTGGCAGGCCGAAGTCGTCACCATCATCGTCCTCGTACCCCATCATGTCCTCCTCATCCTCGTCGGCTTTCCAGTCATCGTTGGTGTTGGAAAGGAAATTGATATAACTTTTGATCGGAGGGGACGACAGGCCCGACTGTGGGCGCGAGGGGGGAGAGGCATCGCTAGGCCGGCCTTTGGTAGAGTGTGAGGAAGGAGGCGTCTTCGGTCTGGAGGAGGAGCTGGACAAGTTGCTGGCTCAAGTTAGCTGAGGGTGTCGGCGCGACTCCAAAATGGGAAGAGTCCGCACAGTGAATCGAATTTGAGAATATCGGCATGAGAGTAGGCTGCTCCGACAACCAGGTTCGGGTCGCGACCGGTTCTTTTCGATGCGTTCTCGCGTGGGGGCGGCTTCCAAAATGGCGATGCAGAACTACCCCAAGTCAGTTCCAAACTGCGTCGGCGATGCAGCCAAGGCAACGTACTCTGAGCGGTCTGCGCCGTCAACGAAATATCAAAGTTAGCCAGGAATTTTCGAGTTTAGTCTCAAGAGCCGAGGCTATGTAGCAACGGGCAGCTCGAGTTCAAGAGGTATGACGAAACCCACCGACTTGGACCATCTCCTGCTGCGGGGCAATTAGCATGCGATGACAGGCCCGGGCAGGGGTTTGGGGGAGCATACCTGTTGCGAGGGCTTCTTCCCACTCCCTGAAGAGGAGAACATGGTGATACTTCTCTATTGAGACCGTGTCATTG